CTACAGTCTTCCCACGTAAATGTTTACAATCCTACAGTCTTCCCACGTAAATGTTTATAATCCTACAGTCTTCCCACGTAAATATTTATAATCCTACAGTCTTCCCACGTAAATGTTTACAATCCTACAGACAGTGACCATGGAGCTTCAGAAACAAATTTTAACACATTATAATACACTTATCTGATGTACGTGTTCATCATCCTACAGACATTGACCATCACAAATTAAAAACTCTTAACTTCAACAAAAGTATAATTAAATTGATGCATCATTGAACATTAATTGGGTAACATTTCTTTTGGCTTTTATAGAAAAGATAATGCTTAAAGTGATTGTAACTTCCAAATATTGGATAAGCAGTGCAACTGTTTTTATCATTCAAATCATTATGCTCTTTAGGTAATTAAAGGAAGTTTGGGAAATCTTTGTTAACATTTAAATGATTGAAATAAGATTTTTCTTTGTACATCTGTACACTATATTTCTGTTTATATAAATATATATATATATCTCTGTAAATAGATATTTTTTGATTAAAAACAATAAAGAAAAACAAATTAATGTTTTTAAATCTCTTCAACAGGTTTTTCCAAAATATTACATCAAGGAGCTTCGTTCCCATTTTTTGGTTTAGTCAGGTAAAACGTGCACAATTTACTTTTAATATAAAAAGATAACTTCAGTGTATCAGGATTTACAATAGTACTGTTTACCTTTATGTGAATCATTAGTGTTTAATATACTGTTCTGGGAATAGCACAGTGTGCTTTATTAGTAGTCACACATACTTAGGGTTACAACAGTAGTTTTGTTTTTATGAACAGTAAAAAAGTTTATTAGTAGGAATATGGTATGTTCTGTTTGAACTGAATTAACTTTAGAGCAGATGGATACGTCCAAGTAACAGCAGGAGGTTCAACAAGATATTTATTACAAAGTAATTCTAAGTTTGCTGACTGTGACCAAGTTTGAGAAAGAAAGAGACTGTATGCAAATATACAAAAAGTACAATGAAGCAATATTTAATAAGGGCAGCACCTTTACTATATAGTTATATCTCTAAGTTCTCCTAACAACTTATAAAAAGGTTTATTAAGAATTAATTAATGTTAGTTAAACTTTAGCAGAGTTTAACTATTTACAAACAAAAGGACTTAAACTTAAATACCACACCATGGACTTCAGCTTGAGAGAGGGCTAACTAAGAGACTAGTATTATATACTTAATATCTGTAATACTATATCCTCAGGACATTTGTCACTGTTGGTCAATTCAGTTGCAATATAAACAAGGTTACAACTTTGAGATACCACCTGAACTACCATTGAAGAAAACAACTGTCAAAATTATTGCACAACATGCAGCATTACAGCCACATCCACCATGGGTAGGACAGGTGTTACCTCCAGAGGATGATAAGGGCATCTAGAACATAATTACATACTTGACCACATGTTATATGAAAACTGCATATATTCAGAAATAACTGATAAATCAAGAATAATGCTATGTTAATATAAGAATATAAAATCTCACTGAACGTTTATTAGGGCTATGTTCAACGGTTTGTTTGCTAATCAGGAATTTGAAGATGGTTCTAAGTTCTAAACGTTCAAAGGTTGGTCAGGCAGCATTCAAACAGTCTGTTTTTTTTTTCTTTAATAATGCAAACCATTTAACAACATTTCAGAAATAAACACACATTAAATGCTACTCAGTTGGAATATTTCTATGATGCCAATTACTTAAAAGTTATTATATACAAAAAAAAAAGGGTGTCGGGTGTACATTAACGGCTACATTGCTTAGTGAAATGTACTGAATGCCTAGTAAGAGAAATGGTTAAATAAACATGAAACATAAAATATATGCTAGCAATGATAATTTTAATGTTAAAAAAGGAACACTGGTATAACTACATTCTTCCAAGCCCCCTTTCCCCCCTAGTAATATGTTTAAATCATCAACAGCGTTATTTTTTAAAACATGTGACTGATATTAACATTCTCTCTCTCTCTCTTGTAACTTTTTCTAATCAAATTGTTAGTGTTACTCGGCTTTGCTGTTTGTTTATAATGATGTTTATGAGGTATGTTTAATTAATCAATAATTTTATGTTAAAAAGACTATAACTGTTTGGAATAGTGATTGCTAAATAAAGATGGAACTTACTTAGGTCAGCTGAAATTCTTTTAATTGGCTATAAAAGGGTGCTCTTGCAATGCAAATTTAATGTTTGTAGCTATAAAAGTAGCATACGTAACAGCAAGTATGTGAACATAAACAACATTTTTTTATATATACACACACAAACATAATCACTGTTTTATATAAAATATTTTTAACCTAATTGTTTTACTTCATTTATGTGGATTACTTGTAAAATAAAAGGGCTTTCAGCCAAAATATAAGCTATAGGTTATGGTGACATCACCAGTACGTTATGCAAATTAATACTATTGAAGGTTCAGGTGTTTGTTCATTAACGTTTTTTGAAACTTTAAAGGTCAAAACCTACCCTTCAATATAGTCCTTATGTTTAAATACCATAGGAATGTACTTGGATTATGAATATTAGAAATACTGTCTAGATTTCATCCAAAGTTTTGTTTTTCTCAACATAGCTCTGCCATATGACGATCTTCGTTTTTTTGTACACTGTAATTTTCCACTTCTGGACTCGGGCCTTCTTCCACAATAAAGTTCCAAGTTATTTACTGTAAAGAATCATCATAAAATCAATATTTAAGCATGTTTAAAACATTCGAAAACATTGCTATTCTTGTTTAATAACTTCTGATCCAAGAGTAATATGAGTACTATTAACCCAGTAAATGTTTAGCTTAACATAATATACCAGCCTTACTAGGATTGTGTTATGTTGTGAAAGAAATATTTATAATGTTCAGAATGCTTAAGTTTTAATTTTCCACTGTTCCTTTAAAATATGTGTTTTGCTGTAATTTCAGTATTTTAAAATTACTTTATATTATAAAGTGTATCTGTTATTACAGGTAGCTACAATTGATGATGAAACTGCTAAAAAACTTCAACTCATCACCAGTGATCTTCCAAATTATGTAACCGTGGGATCCTTTATTTTGGTTATACTTGGGGGAATAATAGTGACTTTTACATTCTTCTTTGCTATAAAAATCGCGAGAAAAAGAGTAAGTTTTGTTCTCTAGTTACACAAGTTTTTTTTGCGAGGAAAAAGAAGTTTTGTTCTCTAAATTGTACAAGTTTTTTTTGTGAGAAAAATAGTAAGTTTTATTCTCTAGTTACACAAGTTTTTTTGTGAGGAAAAGAGTAAGATTTATTCTCTAGTTATACAAGTTTTTTTGCAAGAAAAAGAGTAAGTTTTATTCTCTAGTTACACAAGTTTTTTGCGAGAAAAAGAGTAAGTTTTATTCTCTAGTTACACAAGTTTTTTTGCGAGGAAAAAGAAGTTTTGTTCTCTAGTTATCCAAGTTTTTTGCGAGAAAAAAGAAGTTTTGTTCTCTAGTTACCCAAGTTTTTTGCGAGAAAAAGAGTAAGTTTTATTCTCTAGTTCCACAAGTTTTTTTGCGAGGAAAAAGAAGTTTTGTTCTCTAAATTATACAAGTTTTTGTGAGAAAAAGAGTAAGTTTATTCTCTAGTTATACAAGTTTTTTTTGCAAGAAAAAGAGTAAGTTTATTCTCTAGTTACGCAAGTTTTTTTTGCGAGAAAAAGAGTAAGTTTTATTCTCTAGTTACGCAAGTTTTTTTTGCGAGAAAAAGAGTAAGTTTTATTCTACTAGAAGTTTTATTCTCTAGTTCCACAAGTTTTTTTTGCGAGGAAAAAGAAGTTTTGTTCTCTAAATTATACAAGTTTTTTTGCGAGAAAAAAGAGTAAGTTTTATTCTTTAGTTATATGAGTTTTGTATTTATTTTGATTCACAACATCTTTGCTATGATCAAATTTTCTTTTATTTAAATTCAGTCCAAAACAACTGGTTTAATAAGGGATGAACAGATTAGCAAGTGGTGTAATTTACTAATTATAAAGTAAATTATGAAATTACTTAACCCACACTGTTTTCAGTATTTCTTTTAATATCCTCACAATGTTCCTTAATAATGATAATAATAATAATAATACAAAAAAAGATAAACATGAAGAGATAAGAGCCATTCATAGTACATAATATTTTCTAGTAAGGACTGACTTCTGTGTCTTAATGAGTACAATTTCAGCTTTCATCTCATCACTCCGAGTATAGTAATTAATAACCTTGAATGTGACCTAACTAATCTAGGGAAAACAAAAGTACCTGACATTTGTTTGATGGTTATTTATTAACATACCTGGTACATGTTATACATTATTAATTTATTTAACTACCGGAGTATATAACCATGTAGAACATGTGCCAGGTATTTTAGTAAATAACCATGTAGAACACGTACCAGGTATTTTAGTAAATAACCATGTAGAACGTGTACCAGGTATTTTAGTAAATAACCATGTAGAACGTGTACCAGGTATTTTAGTAAATAACCATGTAGAACATGTACCAGGTACTTTAGTAAATAACCATGTAGAACACGTACCAGGTATTTTAGTAAATAACCATGTAGAACATGTACCAGGTATTTTAGTAAATAACCATGTAGAACATGTACCAGGTATTTTAGTAAATAACCATGTAGAACATGTACCAGGTATTTTAGTAAATAACCATGTAGAACATGTACCAGGTATTTTAGTAAATAACCATGTAGAACATGTACCAGGTATTTTAGTAAATAACCACGTAGAACACGTACCAGGTATTTTAGTAAATAACCATGTAGAACACGTACCAGGTATTTTAGTAAATAATTATATAGAACAAACGTGAGATATTATGGTAATTAACCAGACCCTGCTAATAGCATACTTTCAGTTTACTATGATTTTTTTAAACAGAAAAATTTCCACACAAAAAAACAACATTTTATTCTTTCATTGTTTAAACAGAGTTAAAATTTTTTGTTTGTTTAAAAAATCATTTTATTTCTTACTTTAATTGTTTCAGAAACAAGGTAAAGGGAAGTACGATGGTGTGCCGATGAAAGATTATTGAGAAAAAGTGAAGATTTTAATTTACATGCTGTAACAAATCACCAAGTGTCCTTTTCGTTTCAACACTCAGGTACCAGTTGTTGTTGTTTTTTTTTTGTGTGGGTACTGGACAAGATTGGAAGCAGACGTAGGGAAGGTGAAACCACTTACAAAGAGAGTCGTGATCAACTTTTGAAACAGAAGGATGTTCTCGATGTGATATTTTTGTCTGCTGGTTTAGGACCATTTTTATTATTTTTATAGCTTTACGAGTAACATGCTGAATTGAAATCCTGTTTTCACTATTGAAGCCCATTTTTTTTTTTCACACTTCATTATTGGGATAGAAACTTTAGAAGAAACCACATGCTCAGTATTTTGAAATCTGTTCTGTAATAACGTAGTTAGAGGATTGTATAAATACTACATGGTTAATTATGGTAAAATTTAATTACATTATTAATGGTAGCAAATATATTTTAATTGAAATTTTCTTGTAAGTTAAATGTCATTCAGCACTGTTAAAAAAAAATATATATATATGTATAAGTGTTTAATTTTCATTGACCTCATTATTGAAAGACTTTTTTATTGGCTTGTGTATAAGGTATTAATGTGACTGGTAACAAGCAGTGTTTCTTTATATGTTATTATATATACAGAATTCAGGAAAACAAGACAGATGTTTGTTTCACAAATTCATAATTTATTCACAACTACGGTTTCGCGATGCCTTTACTAGCGAAACCGTGGTCAATAAATGATGTATTTGAAAAACGTACCTGGAGTTTCACCAAGTACTGACGGTTTCAATTATTATATATATTTGTAACCACTGACTGAAAACAATATTAATTTTATGTTAAAGCAACCTAAAATTTTTCCTTTTGTCTCTTCCTAAACTTTAGTGTCATTATAACAAAATAAGCAGATATAAATAGCTTGGTATATATATAAAAAATCACTTACTAGCAAAACAGACTAGACAACTTGTTATCGTGATGTGCAGGTTTTTGAACTACGAAAAAAAAATGGCATATCTAAATATCACTGGAGATTTAAGCCACAACTATTTTATCACATTAGTTTATAGATAACCATGTGTATAAAACTCCTTCCTGTAACAAGTCATTAGTTCAGGTATTTTCAGGGTTATAGAGATAACATTCTAAGATAGTAATATATATCTAAAACTAGTGGCAGTTGTACAATAGCTAAAAATAGGCGTAACGGTTAGGTTGATTCTTGTGGGTGATATAAGCAAGGTCTTTGGTATTCATACTTGCACAAAAGGAATTCAGTGGATCAACATGCTCAACCAGTTTTTTAGGTTAAGGATATTAATAATAATAAGAATAGTTCAATGCATAGAGGTCGACAGCTTATAAACCAAATTTGATATTTTTCCAGTTATCTAAAGTTCTATGGAATTTGGCAACACAGAGATGGTTCTATATATATATATATATATATAGTATAGGTAATGGTAACTTACTGCTGATAAATGTTTGTTTTTTTGTACATAGTTATTATATATATTAAGTTCCATTTTAGTGATTCGTGTAAAGTACGTTAATCACACTGGAGGGGAATAAACTTGAACATGTGAATGCATAAGAGAATTGCTTGAACATCAATTTAGGAAACAGGTATAGTCTTGCGAAGTTTTTTTTTTTTTACTTTTTTTCATATAAATTGCATTGAAATAAGAGAATTTAACATTTAAACTGAAAACAAAGTATTGGTATACTTCTTTCTAATGAGTGCCAAAGTTTAGAAACTGATTTAGTGCCTAGGCTCAGTTCACACACGCACACACACACACAGCATAGAGCATGTCTATAAAGTGATATAAAAATAGCTTGTAATTGTAGAACTGTTAGTAGTGGCTTCAGAATATTACAAACCTTGGTCAAAATAAATAGTGACTCAAATTAAGAAACTTTTTTTTTTTAACAATTTGTCTTAAAATAAATACCTATTCCACTTGTATGTTCAGTAGCAACATGACCTGATGACCCCTTAGTTATGTTGTTTGAGGTCCAACATTTTTTTCTGTCTATTTAAGTGTTATAAACTGTGCGTTTACTAGCTTCTCAAAAATCTTTAACTCCAGTTGCTACTAATGATTTAAAGCTTTTGAGATTGTTAGCGTTATTTTGAATGTGAACTTAACTGCTCAAAAAGTATTGAACAGATTTTGATTAAACCTTACTCTGTGGAGTGTAGTGTTAGTTTTACTTCCTTAAAAACGTACGATATTTAGCGAGAAAGCTGACCAAACGTAGCAAGGACTACAATTATTAACCGTCTTAAAAGTAGTTTAAAAATCAGGTTCACCAAAACCAAATGGATTATCATAGAATAGACACAACTTATCTCTGACAGGGTACATTCCATCTAGTTATAAGTTTTGTGCACTGTTTATCTTAATTAGGTTTTTTGAGTCGAAACAGTTCAATGTTTTTATCTGTCAGAAAACTATTATCAGATTGTATAATAGTGATTTTTATTATAAACTTTATACATAATATATATATATATATATAGGTAGATGACAGTGGATTTTTAGAATACAGTTCTACCACAACTTGGCATATATAAATGTGAATAAGACTTGAGAAAAGAGGTTTTAACTTATAACTGACTATTTTAGGTTTGTAATGATACTATTGGCTAACTTGAATATAATTGTACATACTGTGGGTGTCCCACTGGTGGCCAAATTAAGATTATTATAATACATTACTGTTAGAATGAAAACAAGAGACAGTGAAATTTCACCCAAGTTCAGGAGTTTTTTTTTTTTCAAGATTTACTGTGTTTTATGTAGGATAAGTAAATGACAGATAATTGATTAGCCATACAAAGAGGTGAAGATGGATCAGTGGGTGGACGTATATAGATAAATGAGTGAGAGTAACTCTAGTTTACACAAATATTTGATGGCTATATATATATAACTGGTAAAAACCAAAGATATTAATAGATTAACAAACTGTATATATAATAGATAAAAGCATTCTTCTTTTTTATTGTAGTAGTGTGTGTGTATATAAGGAACACACTGTGGTCCCTGGGCCCTTTTTTTTTTTTTTAAGTAAGACCATAGTTTAAACTGATACTCCCACCTCCCCCATGGCACTGCAGTGAGTCTGGAAACTTTGATCAATAGGCATTAATTTTTTAGAAGAACATAGTTTACACTGATACTCCCACCTCCCCCATGGCACTGTGGTAAGTCTGAAACCTTTGGTCAATAGGCACTATTTTTCAAGATGAGCATAGTTTAAGCTGACAAGCCCCCCTCCCCAGGCACTGCAGTACGTTTGCAAACTCATAACGCTAGAAACTGGGTTTCAATACCCGTGGTGGTCACAGCTTAGCTAGTTCATTGTGTACTTTGTGCTTAACTACACAAAAATAAATCAACAAGCCGGGGGATTTTGATATCTGATTGTGTGTATGACTTACATTAAGTTCTGTGTCACTGACTTGTGTAAAGGAACAGACAAACTTGAGAACGTGCTGTGGTTACATACGTGAAATGCTTTAACAGAAACAAAGAGAACACGGGTATAGCCTCGTGTGTGTCATAGCCGGCTGTGTCCATTAGTAACGGCATGAAGCTAATTACATCTGTGTAACCGTCAATGTATCTAAGTCTTGCGTACAAAGTTAAGGTGACATTTTCATCCAATAATAGAGACAGAGAACAGAGCTTGACATTAAGTTTTTGTCGTTCTTACTATAAAATTCAGTCTTATTCTAAGACAATATGTTTAATTTAAGCCTTAAAATACACAGACATGCTAATATCATAGAGACAAATTTTATGTTTTATAAAGTGCTTGAATACCCTTGGAAATATTGGAGCTTTAGCTAAAACTAAAATCAAACCTTGTTGTTTAATATTACTATATACTATTTATTCCATAAAAATTATATTTGGTATTTCAAAAGAATGGCACTTATTATATTTCAGCATGTAGTTACCCACTGTGCCTTCTGAGGATAACCCATTACTGGTGGTTGTCTAGCATGTACCCCATGTTTCGGCATGTAGTTATCCACTGTGTCTTCTGAGTTGTCTAGCATGTACCCCATGTTTCAGCATGTAGTTATCCACTGTGCCTTCTGAGGATAACCCACTACTGGTGGTTGTCTAGCATGTACCCCATGTTTCGGCATGTAGTTATCCACTGTGCCTTCTGAGTTGTCTAGCATGTACCCCATGTTTCAGCATGTAGTTATCCACTGTGCCTTCTGAGGATAACCCATTACTGGTGGTTGTCTAGCATGTACCCCATGTTTCAGCATGTAGTTATCCACTGTGCCTTCTGAGGACAACCTTACACTGGGGGTCGACTAGCACGTGCCCCATCTTTCAACTTATCCAGTATTTTATTAACAAACTACTGTTGGGCATTAATATTGTTGTTGTTACTCAATAAAACAGGCTAATTTGTTGATTGAAAGACATGCACAAAGAGGGTAAAGGAAACTTACTTGCACCATTGCTTAGAGTTATCAGTTATTTATCAACAACAGCAGTAAAGGAAATGTGATAGACAAAGACACTACTATGATATACAAACACTCTTTCAAGGAAAGTTTGATATATTATTAATTAAAGTCTCGACTCAGTCATTTACTATAGTCTAGGTAAAGAAAACGCAGTTTAAAAGTAAAAGAAAATGCAAATTATTTCTTAAACTGTAAATTATTTCAGAAATAGTGAAGTATAACAATAAAAATGTTGGAATGTTATTTTTTTTTTCCTTTTGTTTATTTGATTTTTTGTTTCTAGATCCAGGCATAAAAAAAAAAAATAGACAAAAGCTCGGAACATTTACTGTAATGTCAGTACTTGTCAAACAATTAAATAATTTATTTTGTCATAGATAAGGAAAATTATACAATGCAAAAGAAATAGTGGCAAACTTTTTTTTCTTTCGTTTATACAATAAAGCCAAAAAGGAAACATGAATAAATGTAGAGTTGAGTAAATTAGTACAAGTACACCTGAAAAATAACCAAGGCCTTAAACTTTTAAGTAGTGTTTCAAAATGTAATAGGCCTAATACTAATATCTTATGACAAGTACAAGTACACCTGAAAAATAACCGAGGCCTTAAACTAAGTTACATTGTACGATTGATTGATTTTTTATTATTTTTTTTTCTTAAAGAACCTGCCGAGTCTTTCACACTGCTAGCCCGTGTGAATGAGACAAAGCATTAGTAACTTCACGAAAGACTTGTATGATATTAGAATTATAATAGTCTTTGTTTCCATAATGGGGCTTGACATTCAAACTTTGAGTTTTGGTAGGAGGCTTGAAGTCGTATAATTATTCTGTCACATTTTGTGATTATTGTTCGATTCATTATTTGTATCGTTCTAAGTAAGTTGGGTAAATTTACTTGTACGATGAGCAGTCGGTACATTTCTTTTGATGTGACTTAAGTGGAATAACATGTAATAAATGATTAAGATTTTAATGGTTAAGGTTTTTCCAGATTGTAAACCTTTAGCCTAAAATCATTTCATGGTTACCATAAGTTTATTTTATTTGTAACATTACCACCTACAGATTAACTGTTGTCAGATTAATCTGTTTAATAATAAATAATTATTACATTCAGAATTTATAATACACACCCTTGATGTTTCTATATCTTTGGATATAGACATAGTTGCACAAAACCACTTGTTACTGCAAACACAACTTGTGTGAATGACTAGAATAAAAACACCTGTTTTTGGCCCTCTCAAAAATTAATTGCAGTTCCAACAAGTAGAATGTTATTTTAAATATTAAGTTGTTGTGGTCTGTAGGGAGTTTCATAAAACAGCTGTTGGGTGTGGATAAGTAGTGAATAACTTGGGATAAAGTTTATACATATATATACTTTTTTTTTCTGCCACCATGAAACCTCAACTATGTAGAAAATGTTAATACTGTTGATATTGTGAGAAGTCTGCCTGAGTTAGGGTACTGTTGTTAGAAGTAATACTAGACAATATAAGTTATTTCTACTTGATACTGACAGTTTTAAGGACTATTTCAAGTTCTATGTGTACTGGATGTAATGATATTAACAATACTGTGCAATTTTTGGTGTACCCTGTACCACAGGTCACTGCTGTTCCTAGTCTTGAAACTACACGTAGATGATACAATGTTATCCTCCTTTTATGTAGAAGAGTTGCAATAGATGTTGAATTTATATTTTAAAAAAATAGAATTTAATTATAAAATACCACACTACGAGTGTTTTACTACATATTTACATAGTGTTAAGAGCTCTATGTATAAAAACCCAGACCAACGAAGTCTGACCACTTGTATTTTTATTACTTTTAAGACAGACTTAAAAGCCGATATTTTTAAGGCACTTTTTTTCAGTGTTTTAATATTCAATAATAAAACATTTGTCACATTGAAATTAGATATGTTTTTAATAATAATTACAACAAAGCAATTCTGGTTACTGAGTGATAATATTTGTGCCTTTCGGGGCGTGTTTGGTAATTACATTCCGAGCAGCGCTGTTTATATATCGTAATCTGGTTATTTTCTGTATATCAGCATGCTTTGTCTGTGTTTAATAAAGAGTTTTGTATACTTACTGTGAGTAAAGTAAGTGCTCTTTCTTCGATCTACAGTAAATAAATTGTAAAGTTATTGTATTTATGATAAACGAACCAACTTGTATACCTCTCTTTGAAAGTTATATGCATTGTGTCTACCGTGTGGAATCGAACCTCTAACTTTAGCGTTACGAGCACTCACTCTTATCATTGAGACATTAGGGGACTGGGCTGAACTGGCATAATTATATTTGTCATAACACATTAGTATAAGGCCTATTACATTTTAAGTAGTGTTTCAAAATGTAATAGGCCTAATACTAATGTCTTATGACAAGTACAAGTGTAGTCATTCTTCGCTTGCTTATAAAAAGGCGTACACACCGTTACAAGAAATGACATAGTTCGAAACTACCCGTCGTCAGAAATTCAAATATAACATTATTCATGGATGTTGTACAGTGCAGAAAACACAACTATTTAGAAAGGGGAGTACATACGTTTTCCTGTGACTTTTTATCATAACTGAATTGCTGGAAATATCAACTGGGTAATGTAAACAATGAAATTTTTTTTCGGATGTTTAGGCCTATTTTGTGCCCTTGAATTCAGGCCTTTCCAAGTTGCTGTTCAAGAATCGCTGGTAGGCAAAAAATTCTGCTCTCGCATTGAATAATGCTTATTAAGTCAAAGCTGCGAGACCAATAATTATAAATGTTTGTAACATTCAAACTGTTAAATACAACAGACAAATAAACACTGATCAAAAAGGAGTATATAAATAAATAAAAAAGTTGTTGTTGTTTGTGATTTTCAGAGACGAACTAGTTCGACAATCGTACCGTTAAAGAATGGCACGCGAACAATGTATGTTTACTCTAATCTACTAATCTTACTATAATGAACGTGTGTATATGTGTCTATATATGTAGTGCCATCTATTGAATGGCACCACAAACGAAATAAATCACTCCTCAGGTATTAAGGATTCAGACAATTTGAAATGTGCAACAACCATTTCTTTATCACAGAACACAATTTTAAATAAAAGTACTCTCCTCGCAAAAACAACGCGACTTTCACTAGGACTGTACTAGGGTTTGATTATATCTTTATTGATGAAATTTGTAAATATAGTACTGAGAAACTGGAGTTCCTAAGAAAACTATTATTTTTTCAATAAATTGTACCACTTTTAATTTATGAAAGAACTGCAGTTTATATCATAACAATCCGAACACTTTTTCCTGTGCAGGACTTCCCAGAAAAATCCTTTTCTAGAAAATGTTCAGTTTTTCTAAATTATTTTAAATGAGATATGAATACTACAATTAGTAATTAGTTGTACAAATAGCCGCCAGTAGGGCGGTGTTTCTGCTAGTATGAGAAAACATTAAAGTTAAATTTTGTTAAAAAGATACAGTTACAGACTTGTGTTTAGGGTCAAAATGACAACTTCAAGGTAATTTGCTTCTAAGTAGAAATGTATTATTAAAAGTTATAAATAATCAGTTGCTAATTTTGAAAGTATTTTTAATTAAAATTGAGAAATGGAATTCATGAGTTAGGCCTAGGAATTTATGAGTTGGGAAGTAGGCCAATTGTGTTTTAACTTCTACTTTGGTATTAAATAAATTAACTTTTACAACTTTCTGATAAGAAAACTTTGAGGCCGTTGAATGAAAAGCTTCATTTCCTTTTATTACTTAAATTAATTACGAAATTCAGTGGTTCGGTGACCGTGTTATGATCTTCTCAAAATTCTGGGTTTGATAGTTGGTAGTGTTAACCAGACTTCTCTCAGTTACCATAGGAACGCATCTTGTTGTCATTGTGTATTTTAATAATAGCAGTAATCAACGTAGGGTGAATATAAACGAAAAAAAATCACAATTTCTTTAATTCTATGAGAGCCATTTTACTACAGTCTATGAAGATGGACGTCAGTCATGGTATATATTTACTTGTCAAATCGCTCCCCAATGGCTCAGCGGTAAGTCTGCAGGCTTACAAAGCTAAAAGTAGGGTTTCGATACCCGTGGCGAGCAGAGCACGAATAGCCCATTGTGTAGCTTTATGCTTTAGAGTAACCCAACTTGTCAACTCGAGAGTCTCAAAAAATTGAAGGTTTCGCAATGTTTGTTTGAAGTCAAGTACAAACCTACACAATGGGCTATCTATGCTCTGCCTACCACGGGGGCTCGTAATATTTATTCGTTGACCATATAAGCTGTATACAAAGATCTTTAAATGTTGTTAACCATCATTGTGATTACTGACAGTTTCTGAAACCGTTATTTGGTGCACAAGATTAGGTTTCAGCCATCCCCTGTTTCAGATATTTAAATGTTGTTAACCATCACTGTAATCATTGTGATTACTGACAGTTTCTTAAGCCGTTATTTGGGCCACACACGCGCAGAAACTTTGATTTTAGCCAGCCCCAGTTTCAGCATATATTTTAAATAAGAATCTATGCAATTATCATTCAAAATGAAGATTTTCCGATATCATGATATGATGTTGTTGTTGTTTTTCATAACCTATGATTTACAAAAACATAAGTTACAAGGGCAAAGGGCTGGCAGGGATAAAGGTCTTAACAGTCACGGTAAATTCCCAAGGTTACCATTAGAATGTGGTAATGCAAGTTTTCCTGAAAGTGGTTCCCCTTTCGCGTGGTTGCGAAGTACACCTGATGAAGCTGCGAAAGACACCGCATTGACTAGTGTCTGTCTATTGTTAAGCGCAAAGCTATACAACTACAACTGGACAACGGTTCTTAAAATTTTAGTAACCCCGAGAACCACTTTAAATTTTAAAATGTTTCGCAGATCCCCAAACCTATCGATGTGTTTATTAAAAGCTCTGTTCCAACGTTAAATGTTTTAATTCATATATGTAATATAATTTTACGAAAAATATTTTTATTCTATAAATCATATTTTGAAAATATTTTTATGAAATTTCGGTTATTACTCGCGAATCCCGTAAAGTACCCTCGCGGACCCAAGTTTGAGAAACGCTGCAATAAGCTATCTGTGCTGTGTCCACCGTAGGGATCAAATCCCGAATTTAAGCGTTATAAGTCTTCAAGCTTACCGCTGAGACACCAGGGGCGTCCTGCGGTATCAAGTCGAAATCTGCTCGTGTACTTTGCCACAAATAAAAGTAAAAATAACATGATTGAAAACGAGGAATGTTTTTAGAACTACTATCAATTCTTGATGAATCAGGTATAGACGTTTATATTATGTGGTATACAACTGGCATACGCTTTTTATACCATAGCGATGCATATCTCATAAATGACTGTTATAAATAGCATTTCGACCGAGATTGTGTGTTGCATTCCCAACCGACCTGATGAGCTCTGGTATTGAGCGAAATGCTTCGTCAGTAGTGGGGTGAAGCACATTTTGTGTGCAGTTGAAATGGTATTATATTCTTCGTTCTTGGGAACTGTATAGGACCATTAAAGAATGATGTGTTAAAAATTATTATCAGCGTTATTGTGATGTTACATTCCCAACCGACCTGATGAGCTCTGGTATTGAGCGAAATGCTTCGTCAGTAGTGGGGTGAAGCACATTTTGTGTACAGTTGAAATGGCATTATATTCTTCGTTCATGGGAACTGTATAGGACCGTTAAAGAATGATGTGTTAAAAATTATCATCAGCGTTATTGTGATGTTACATATTACAAACTACCAATCTACAGACTTGTGTGTTGTTGGTCTGTTGAAAAAAATTCCAGCCCCTCTGTTTGAAAAGTTTTTAACAGAAACGAATCGAACAATTCGATAACAATAATTATTAGTCTTTTCTTGCTGAGGCCTGTTTACAAAGCAACTTTGATTACGTTCATGTAATACACGCGATATGCTGAAAAAAATCAACAGTCCTAATTGACTTACATACACCATATATTACACGTCGTATATTAATCTCCAAGCGTTTTTTTTTTTTAATTCACGTGTTATATGATTAATTGGTTTTTATTCGTTTAATCTTATAAAAAAATTGGTTGTAAAAATAATTTGAAACATTTCTCTTTTCACTTTGATTTATACAACTTTGAATAACATCGAATATTTATACTGTAGTTGATTTTAAGTTTTACTTTTAAAATGTTGCTAAATGCATAAGACACGTTTAGGCTACTTTTTAATCAAAGGGTAAAGAACGACCTAATAACTCTTAAGTTGTGGTTGAGTAAATCGTGTTAAATTTTTTTTAAATAGAACCATTACTATCAATATCTCTCCCTCTATATTACTGAAGTAAAAACGAATTAGGCCTGGTATGGCCCGATGATTAGGGTTCGAATTCCCGTCGCCGATCGTGCTCGCCCCTTTCAGTCGTGAGGGTAGTATAATGTGACGGTCAATCCCGCTATTCGTTGATAAAAGAGTAGCCCAATAATTGGCGGCAGATGGTGTTAACTAACTGCCTTCCCTCTAGTCCGTCACTGCTAAATTAAGGACGGCTAGTGCAAACAGCCCTCGTGTAGCTTTGCGCGAAATTTAAGATAAATCAAACCAATAACGAATTGTAATATCTGCTTTATAGAAGTAAGACAAAAACGGTACATAAATACGAAGCTCTTTGAACTGTAAATTTTTTTCGATTTAATCTTTATTTACATACATAAAGTAACTTGATGTTCAAACTTTTATCTCTCATTATTAGGAGAAGGATATACACGAATAAGAGTTGTTAAACCTAAAACATTCAACCTCAAGAATGATATATTTACAAAAATGTAATTTTTCTTGGAAAAACATTTGTATTACTGTTCAAGTGTTCTGAAGAAGCCATTCGTTAGTTGAAATAAACATTTATACTGGTTGAATTAGATGTCATTCCGGTTGAATTACATCTAGTTACGTGTTAATGAACACTGTTCAGATTATCTATGCCAATCACCGTCTTAAATAATTATAAATGTGATTGCTAATTATGAATTCTAGATTGTGCGCAACTGCTAGTACAGTCTTATACATAATTAAGTTTTATTTGTGTATAAACAGGGGCGTTGGAGGCAAACTTACATTGGTGGGTCAAGGAAAACGCTACTACGTTTCTACTTCATTCTTAACACGTGTTTGCCACACTCGATGTCACCAAGGTAAAAAAAAAAAAAATAGGGCAGTGTTTTTTTCTTCACTCTTCTACGCAGGAACTCTAAACTGTGGGAAACTAGTTAAATATAAAGTCGCATACAAGCGAAAAATGGTCGGAAGGGTAGCGCAAAGAAGGGACTCGCTTTGCTCCAATTTGTTCCCCTGATGGCAGTTTCAGAAGTTGTTCTAACCTGAAGTCTCGTTGTGTGAAGAAGATATAGTCCAAAGTGTGGCAAGATTCTTTTTCTTCTCGTATCTTCCATGTTGTGAACAATGGTTCCTCTCGAGACTCACTTAAATATGTGTAAGAACTCTTTAGTTTGGGGGCTGGACAGGACAGTAAAGTCTTGTATACGGGCTCGGTTGGTTCTGCGTTGAAATCTCCAGCAAGAAGCAAAGGTTTTTTACTATAATTTTCCTGTATAAATCGTAAAAGGTCTTTCCCTTGTTTGTTTCGGAACTCCGCTAAGGCGTGGCCTTGCCGAGCCCTTAAATGAGTGGTGACCACGCACATTTCGCGATTGTCCAGTTTGCGTCTGAAGATGCAGAGGATTGCAACTTGGTTTGTCTTGTGGTTTAGAACTTCCAGAACCCTAGTGACTGTTTTGATTAACCGAAATTTTGTGGTGTCGTAAAAAATAGCACATCCATCAGGTCCGTTGTTATCCTTAATGTAATAACACAGAGAATCTGGTTTAGGAAAGAATACGCCTGAAAAGTCCAATGTTCCCAAAGACTTCTTTAGAAATTTAAAATGGTCCACTTCTTGTAGACAGATTATATCAGGTTGATAAAATAGAATCTCTTCCAGAATCCTCCACCGACGAGTCTTCCAGTCTAGAGCTTCCAGTGGGCAAGCCACAAAATTATCAATCCTTTCTCCTATAGCTAATGCACAATATAGGAAAATATATATATATATAATTAAATAAGAAGTTCTAAAGATCTTGGTAAAATACATAACACAACTTTTTAAAACTTGGTAAAATACATAACACAACTTTTTAAAACTTGGTAAAATACAGGACATAACTTTTTAAAACTCGAAATTCGTATGGTTCTAGCACAGTTGTCCCTAATTTTGACCTGCTAACTAGAAAGAGAATAGCCAATCAATGAAAAAATTAGATACATAGATCTAATCCAAAATAATCAACCAAAACTTTCAAGTATTTCTATATTCCCTTGCTCAAGAACCATCGTAATAGATTAATGTTTTACAATAAGCGTGTATTTACTTCAAGTTGTTGTTTTATTTTAGTATTTTTAAAGTAGTTTGCTAGAATAGGTTAATTTTCTTTTTCTTGTTTTGGTACCTTGGGAGAGGATATTCCAGGACATCAGTCGAAAGACTTGAGGGCCACGGGATGGTACTGTATCTTTAAAGTGTTTGTTCACGTGGTGGAATGAACGAGTAATTGGAAGTGGAAAATTGATCAGTTCGTTCTTACAACGCTGAACCAGTTCATAATGGGGTAGTCGTCCAGTCAGTTCCACGTCATTGTCTGCTGTGTCTTCATTTATCATTTTCTGGTTCGATATGTTCATCCTGTCTTGGAAACAACAATCACTGTAACTCCTACAATAAGTAAAATAATGTTAAATGTAATAATTTCAAACAGAAAGTTGAAATACATGTAGATTGTGTTACGAAGCAATAAATTATAAAAATACATTTGAATTGGGGATTACGTTTCTGGTTAATAAATCCGAAAATTCAAATAAATTAATCTAACCATTTTTAATACTTCCAGCCATATTCAATCTGAACATAAATACTGTTGCCCAAAAACACTCAATCAATCTATCTACCTTCTTCGTTCGCGAACCCTTGGCCGTAACCAGAGATAGAAATTTACTGGGACAAGAAATGACAATCAGCTGGGGTGAGGTGGGGTGCTGTAAGCCCCTTGGGAAAATTTTGAAATTTTTAGCCCTCTCACAGTCATTCTTTGCAGTTTTCGGAGGGTGTTTGGTTTGTTTAATTTACACTCTACTCATAGGGTTTGTTCAAGTATACATATAGGCCAGGTATACGTTTACTATCAGTAGAACGAATGAATTTATACATGCATACCAGGTTTTGGAGAGCAAAAAAAAAAAAAAAATCGCTCAGAAAAAAACAAAAAAAAAAACAGGGCGGTTCCCCCATAGCTGGTTACGGCCATGGAACAATCTTAATTTTTTTAAAACTTTGACCAACCAAAGTTGGATGTATACACCATTCCATGAACCACCCTGAGGAAGCCTGCGAACCACAGATTTAGAACCTTTGATACAATGTATCTGACCCAAATCCCCCAAAGAAGGAGACCGTTGATCTCCGAAACTCAAAAAAATAATGGTTAGTGTTTTGAAACTGGTTAATGTTAACTTCAGATGTATTGATCATGATTTTAATATTAATTTGTGATCAACAGAACAAGATCATAGTAGTTTATAGAATTCCCGGAAGAACCGTGCTTGAAAGCAATATTGGTTAAAGACCAAATAGTGAGATCCCACCGAACAAGACAAAACAATTAATGTCACATTTGGAAAGAGGATATTACATTTTCTTAAGCCTGAGTTAGACAAACTGATAGTGTAAACTTAACATTACTAAATCGTACAAGGCCTAAAGCTACCGACCGTAGAAACATTCGAATAAGTCAAAATCAGCTTAACGAGAATGATTTAAATACAAATCGGGCTGGAATGAAGTAGAATCTACTTTACGCTGAAGAATGGTACGTTTTGAAATCTCTTATACGAGAACCTTAATTCAAAAGAACAAACGTACGCTGAATCATAACAACACTTAGGCCCATTTTTATCGTTTTTCGTATGTTTAACCTGCCTTACCTTATCAACGTCGTCGTCAAAGCAAAACACACTTTGTTACGAAAGAAACTCGACCTCGGCTACTCTAGCGTCTGTACGAGAGTACAGTTTCGACGTACAAAGTGTGTCCGACAGATGAGACCCCCCCTTATATATATATCTCAAAGTCCATTCGTCCATCTTGTTTGTAATGTGTTTTTGAAATTATTCTACCTCTAATCTTCTTAAAAACCGCTAACATTCCTATTTCTCAATATCTCCCTTCCAGACAAACCTTCTCACCCCTTTTTGTTAAGCCTATTTAAAATATATAAATATTAAGAATCTGACATTGCGGCTGGGGAAATACGCTCTTCGTCTGCTGTATTTAGGGTTTCAAATTGAAATGCTTAGGAGGAACTCATCATCAGATATCTTTATGCAAAAAAAAGGGGATTCACCCGTTTAACCTCGTAACAGTGTACATTTTCTGTAGTTCAAGGTAAAACAGATTGAATAGAATGGACTTTTAAAAGGAAGTCGTCTTTTTTTTATTACATTGACTTTATAAAATATATCGAATGACTTAAATATAAATTGATAATTTTTTTATCTTATTAAAAATGGTACTCCCGTACTTGGTTAATAGCACGTTTTCATCCCACAAATAAATAAAATTTAATTAATTCAGATACCGTAGTAGACGTTCAGTAAAAACATACATTGACTTATCAGTATTAACTTCCAATCACAGCAAGCTACCTATTTAACACTGACTTATCAGTATTAACTTCCAATCACAGCAAGCTACCTATTTAACAATGACTTATCAGTATTAACTTCCAATCACGGCAAGCTACCTACTTAACACTGACTTATCAGTATTAACTTCCAATCACAGCAAGCTACCTATTTAACACTGAATGATCAGTATGAACTTCCAATCACAGCAAGCTACCTATTTAACACTGACTTATCAGTATTAACTTCCAATCACAGCAAGCTACCTATTTAACACTGACTTATCAGTATTAACTTCCAATCAAAGCAAGCTACCTACTTAACACTGACTTATCAGTATTAACTTCCAATCACGGCAAACTACCTATTTAACACTGACTTATCAGTATTAACTTCCAATCACAGCAAACTAAGAAACATCTTGGTAATAAGTATAGCTGATTAAGTATACTTTTCTTAATAATAAAGAATAAGATGTATTGATATGGGCGTCGGGGGAGTAAGGGGACGCTTGCCCTCCTTTATTCATTCATCATACGTATATGAATTTACGCGTTTTTTATTTATTTCACAATTTCACACTACTTTGCCCCTGTAGCAAACAATAAAATGTCCAGTAACTACTTTGCTCCCCCCCCCCCATGATAACATTTCTGCGGGGGCTCCTGTGTGAATCATCACTTGGGTACCGTCGCTATTAACTAATATCAGCGTCATTAAATTAGGTACGTTTATAAGCCTTTAACTGTAGCAAACAATAAAATGTCCAGTAAATACTTTATGATTTAAAAAACTAAATAAACCACACAACAATACATTATCTAGCAATGATTTAAGCCTAATCTATCTGGTGGCCCGACAGTGGTATGTCTGCGGGTTTATACCGCTACGCTAGAAACCGGGTTTCGATACCCATGGTGAGCAGAGCACAGATAGACCATTGTGTGTGTAGCTTTGTGCTCAACTACAAACAAACAAACAAAAAATCTAACTAAAAGAAACAATACATAGCCGTGACTGTTACAGTGTACTCTTGAATACGTAAAAGTCACGTGACTTTAGAAACTGAAATTACTTGACCGGTGACGTAATACAGATCTACAAAAAAACTATATTCCTCAACGTTGTGAAAAACGTTCACATTATATACAATGGTATAAACACTTGAAAACGTTATATATATTGGTCATTTATCTTTGCCAAGGAACACCTACAACAAACGTCAAGCTTACGGGCTTACAATGCTAGATTCCGAGTTCGACTTCCCGTGGTGAACACAGCAAATAGCCCAATGTGGTTTTGTTCTTAAAAACAAAACTTGAGGATTATCCGATTCATAGAGAGAGAGTAAAATAACATATTCGACTGAGCTTCGGATTTCTTTGATCTCCTTAAAATCGGCAGTAACTTTTACTGAAATATTCTCAGCTTAAGACAATCACGTGACGACGTGCTGGGGATTTGCGAGTTAATAATTCATTTAAATACTATTTTCATTAAAATCGGAATCCTGCCCTCTGTGAAAGACAGTAAAAAAAATCAGTTAGCAAATGCGGAAATACAGAGTATTTAGTAAAATGGGGAATACCGTCGATCATAATGAAGCACGGAATAGTACCCCCTCCCCCTTGATCATAAGTATAAAAGGGAAAATCCCATGACCGCAACTATTGCCTTGCCAGGGGAATTGATGCCACCTAGTCCCTAGTTCTAAGATATATACATGGATGATACAAGGCTTAAGAATATCATATTCAATCTAAACTGTTGGTATGGTTTCGTGTAACGTATCTCGTGGACACATTGTTGTGTAACGTACCTAATAACTACATAAACCTCCAATATCTTGAGCACCTAATAACTACATAAACCGCCAATATCTTGAGCACCTAATAACTACATAAACCTCCAATATCTTGAGCACCTAATAACTATATAAACTTCCAATATTTTATACCTAATATCTATATAAACCTCCAATATCTTGAGCACCTAATAACTATATAAACTTCCAATATTTTATACCTAATATCTATATAAACCTCCAATATCTTGAGCACCTAATAACTATATAAACTTCCAATATTTTATACCTAATATCTATATAAACCTCCAATATATTGAGCACCTAATAACTACATAAACCTCCAATATCTTGAGCACCTAATAACTACATAAACCTCCAATATCTTGAGCACCTAATAACTACATAAACCTCCAATATATTGAGCACCTAATAACTACATAAACCTCCAATATCTTGAGCACCTAATAACTACATAAACCTCCAATATATTGAGCACCTAATAACTACATAAACCTCCAATATCTTGAGCACCTAATAACTGTAAAAGCCTCGTGCAATGTTTTGTTTTCTAATAAATGTATAAAACCTGCTCACAGTTTTCTTGTTTATACATTTACCGGTTACAGATATCGCGGGCTTCATAACAAGTATACAACGCATTTATCTACGGGTTGTTGAGAACTAACTACAACGTATAACAAATATGTTAACTGTCATACTTTTCTCTTTACAACGTTTCTCGGCAAATATCAATTACAAACAACGAAATCTGTAAAATATATATATGTATATTAAACACTGATTAAGGACCTTCCCTTATAAGTAGCGCAATCCTGTTTGATCTAACAGAAAAAATAATGTCACGTCTTACTGTTCCCAAGCCCACCTCGACCTTTGCCCTGACCCCAGTGCTCGTTTGATTTTATTAGTACGTTCAAGACCTACAAAACAAAGAGACTACATAACTAATTTCGACGCGTGATAAACTGTTGGTAACTTACTAAGAGGAATCCCCCCCCCCCGCCAGTGGCATAACGGTATGCCTGCAGACTTACAACACTAGAAACCGACATTCAATACCCGTGGTGGGCAGAGCACGGATAACCCATTGTGTAGCTTTGTGCTTAATTACAAACTAACTAACTAACATGAATTACAGTTTAAAAATAAAGAAAACGAGACGGGGGATAACAAATACT